AATAATAAGTCTGTGAGTTAAGAGAAATCTCATCTCTAATTTGTAGTTGACCGTGTGTACAATACAAGTCAAACTTATTAAGAAGCTTCTAAAGTTAGTTTTTATTAATTAATTACTCAAAATAATAAGATTAAGTTAAGCTTACTTTGAGACTAAATAATCATTATTAAATCCCAAAAAAAAACTTTTTAAGGTACATGAACTTAATTTGCTTTGCAACCCCATGTACACGCAATATATTAGATACTCTTTAATTTTGTCCCAATTTATCTAACATTTTTTTTTTAGCTTTTTGAGACTCAGAATAATGTAATTTTCTATTAAATTTTTTTTGATATCATATATAGCTTATCAAAATTTAACTTGATTATGCTTAACATATTTGTTAGATTAGTTTTTAAAAAACGAAAAATATTACGTAAATTAAACCAAATCGATAATTTATCTTGAAAAAAATATTCAAAAGGCATAAAGAAAAGAAATTAGTTCAAACATCTTAGTAAGAGTTTACTATTTTAATCTATCTAGATAAATATATATATTATACTATTGTTGAGTCAAAAACAATAGTCAAAGTCAACAAAGAATAAAATAGTCTTGTAGCTCAAGGAAATCAAATTGTACATTATCAAATTATAAACTATTGTTAAGAGTCAAATAAAATGGTCAACACCAAAGATGAATTAGAATTTAGACTATGATAATAAATTTAGGATTTAATCAGTTGCGTAACAATATAATGAAAGACAATTATTTAATTGTACTTCATCGGAATTTATACGGTGTATATAGAAAATTATATTAAATAAAAATACATAGGTAATAATACTTCATATATGCACATGCATGTACTAAATCTTAATACTTTTTACACTATATGTGTATATATATTAATTTATCGAAATAATTTTTTCTATCTTTTAAGATAAAGATAAGGATATAGTCAACGTACATATAATTACATATTATTTTTTTAAGACTCTATTAATGAAATTACATTGAGTATATATATTTATTGTTATGTTGTATAAACCTTAAACTCGCCTTTTTGTTATTAGGAGAAAGAAATCGATGGTCAACAACTAGTGTTATGGTGCAGCGGAAAGCCTCCTCTCCTTGGCTGAACGCCCCTCGAATCTTCCTTGAGTTGACGTTACTGAGAAATTAAGTTACATTATTTGAATTAAACTAAAAGATAAGATCATGGCAAAGTGTTGGAAGTGTTTAAATTGCACTGAAACCTAATTATAACTATGAAAATATATGTAAACAAAGATTATTACATTTGGAACTATTTTTTCCAATTGTTTTCAATCATATAAGGCTCTTTTTTCAACGACATGAGTTGTGGCACGATGATTAAAATTCTCACGCCCTTAATTAAAGGTTTGAGGTTAAGCTTTGAGAATGAAAAGAAAATTATTTTATGATCACCGCTCTGCTAACGCTTAAATAAATGGAAAAAAAAAGAGAGAGGCTATTTTGAACTTGTAAGTGTACTTTAATAACTTGTAATTAAATGACAAATAATAAGATAAAAATGTTCTATGATTTCTTACAATTGTTGATTATACTCTAAAAAAAAAAAGAAATACAAAAACTCAAACATAGTTGTTGATTTAATTTAATTACTACTTTCTAATTAGGACCAAATGTCTTCAATGTTGCACAAATTGTTAAAAACATCTTCATTATCCATCCATAATTCTATATTATTTTGTTGATCCATTGCTTGATAATCTTCATACCATAATTGATCACTTTGATTAACTTGATTATAATCTTGATTAGAGTTTTCTGATGAAGTTGCCACGCTGGAATTTTCTAGTGTAACGCTAGTGCTCGTAACGGATCGTTGAGCTTCGTTAATACAATTATTATTCGAAATTTTGGATGCTTCAATCCTCTCAACTAGTCTTGGAATCCAAAGATAACGTAATGTATCTTTGAATTGTTTGCTATTCACATCGCACTTTAGTTGTTTCGCATGTTTTTGAACTCGAGTTCTCCAGTAATTTTTAATCTCATTATCCGTTCTTCCTGGCAAATGTTCCGCAATTTTTGACCACCTACGCTCACAAAATTATATAGTTGTAAGATATTTGAAACTTATATATGCTATTGTAAAAAATTCTAAACATAAAAATATATTTTTTTAAAATAAAATTAATACCTATTGCCCCAACGAAAATGAAGTTGAAGAATTAAAAGTTGTTCTTCAAGTGTAATATTTCCATGTCGAATATTTGGTCTAAGATAATTAAGCCATCTTAGTCGACAGCTTTTTCCTGTCCTCTTTAAACCTGTTTAAGTAATCAAAACGTTAATTTATGGATAGACTAAAACAGAAAAAATACATATTCATAGTGGAAATACGTCAATGAATTATTTACTTACCAGCACAACGTGAGAGGGAGTTCCAACGACCTTCACCATGGTGAGAAATATAATTCATAAGAATAAAATCTTCTTCGACAGTCCATGGACCTCTTCTAAGCTCCATGATTTCTTCATCAATATAATTTTCTTGATTAATTAATTTATCCATCAAAATTGATTGATAAAATAAAAATATATATAAAAAAAATTATTGGATTTTTGCTAATGTTATATATAGAGAGAGAAAGACAAAATAGTTGTTGTGAATAGATGTATTTTGGAGATAGAGGGAGTTGTGGAGCTTTATATATAGTGTGAGGGAATGATTAAAAAATAATTCTATTTTTTAATTCCCATTTTTTTTATTAATATAAAGTTTAATTTAAGCATAGTATATGATGATACGACTCGTTTTGCACCTTTTGGTTTTGACTATATAATAAAATTAATTTCCCTTCATTCTACATAGTGGACTCATTCAACTATGTAGCCAAATAGTCATGAATTTTGACTTTCTGATTTCATGTAGTAATGTTATAATCCATATATCAAGATTTACCATTTAGTGATATTGGTGAAAATTATCGCATAATTAAAATCGATAAGTACTAAGTCAGATTCATCTTAATTTAACATCATCGAAGATGGATGGTATGTCTTTTCTTTTTTTTTTAGAGTTTTGGGCAATTTTGATTATCTCATGAGTTAATTTTAGATTTGAATATGATCAAGTGTGTTATTTAGTTAATAATATTAAATTATAAGGACGGCTTAATTGACAACAAATATAAAAAAAATATACACTATATTACGATCCTAAGTTATTGTCCAATCATTTTTTTAAATTTTTTTTTGCAAAAAATATACATTAGTTATACTTTATCAGTATACTTAACTTGAATTTTATTGTAACTTTTTAAAATAATAGACGTATAACGTAATTAATAATTGATAAAATAAAAATTCTAGGTCCACCTTCAATTAAAAAGATAGAATTGATTTTTCCAAATCAATCAAATCAAAATTTTCCATTAATATATGATTTGTCAAATCCCTAACAATAATATTTTCTTATCCTATGATTTGTCATATCCAATGTAATTATTTTTTTCTTTTTGGGAAGAAAGCATTAAGTTTCACTTTTCTATTTTTGGTTTCTGTCTTGATATATATCAATGTAGCACCTTTGAATTTTCGATTTATCATTCGATGATGTAAAAAATTATTTGTAGTCGTAATTGTTAATGTAATATATACTTATTAAGTAAATATGTACGTTTTATGATATTTTCTTTATTTATTTTTTTCATAGCCAAAAGTCTTTGTCAAGTTAATTGACTGTATTACCTCTGATTCTTTCTTGATTTTGTCGTCTCTATCTAAATAATTTTTTTTTAACGCACCAAAGAAATAAGGCGATAATTTTTTTTTGAATTTTTTGTACGAGTCTTTTTTTAATACTATCGTATGAATATACATATATATCGAAGGAAGAGAGAATTATCTTTTGTTTTTTTGTTTGCCAATGGCACCAACAAGATTAATTATTAGTTAATTACTATTAATTAGTGCTAATATAATGACATTTTTCTATTTTAATCTAATGCTTCTCCTCCTACACATGTCACTTTACGGCTGCTAATAATTAATTTACATATATGAATCTTCTATATATTTTTATTTTTCATTTATTTATAACTATATAAATTTAGTTTTACGAATATATGTTAACCTATCTTTTCCTTTTTTTTAAAAAAAAAATTTGAATTCAATATTTATGATGATATAACCATGATAAAGGACGAATTGAAGAGGACATATCACACGAAAAAACGGATAAATACACGTATTTTTTGATCCGACATCAACAACATAGCCCAAAAAGAAAAAATATTTAAGATTTGTTATGTAAAAACAGATAATATATTATATGATACATTTAAATCATGACGAGCAACAACATCATATCGTCTATAAATTCTCTAAGCATTATTACATCTTTACTCAACTTGTACTTAACAATTTATATAAATTTAATTAGCAACGTAAGCCACTATGTAAATTAACACTTCTTAATGTCCTCATTTTTTTTCTCTCTAAATTTTTTAATTTGTATTGATTTAATATTTCAACTTTCAAAACCCTATAAACCTAAGTACTACTCTATAGAGTCAAAGACATCTCATATTTTTAGTTGACCATGTTTATGAGTTAACTAGTCAAATAAGCAAGCTTTAAGTAATAATTCTTATTAGTTAATTAATTAATTAATTAAGAGATTAATCTAGCAAGTAGGTTTCTTTAAACTAATTAACAAATATTGTTAATTGAACCTTTATAAGTTTAAGGTACATGAACTTTGTTAATTTGCTTCTCACACGTAAGCTATTTGCTCATAGTTCAAAAAAAGCAAAAATAGTTCGAACAGTATATGTCAAAACCAATACATTTATATATATTTCGTAAACTCTTTGATCAAAGTATTTAGGATATTATCCGTTTTTATGATCTTCAAGTTGAAAGTCAACAAATTAACTATGTTATCGATTTTTAATATCGAAAAAAAAAATAATCCATGTGTTGGAACTTTGAGTAATCAACTTTGAAGGACGATTAAAATCTTGAAGAAAACAAGTTAACAATATAATTATTATCATCTACTGGTAATTGAAATGTTACAAATAATGACACACAATTAAAAAAAAAAAAGATAAAATTGTTCTATGCTTTGTTTAATGCTTATTAATTATAACTCTAAAAAATTGCCAAAACTCAAACTTTTTTTTTTCTAGTCCGACTAAATTCAGATTCACGACGAGAAATCTCACATTGAGTAAAACGCTCCCTAATAAAGGTGATTCTGTATCCAAGGGGACTCGAACCTGATACCCCTAATAAAGGTGATTTTGTACCCTAATAAAGGCGATTCTATACCCAAGGGGACTCGAACCTGATACCCCTAATAAAGACGATTCTGTACCCAAGGGGACTCGAACCTGATACCTGTTGTTGATTTAATTTAATTTAATGCTCTAATAAGGACCAAATGTCTTCATTGTTGCACAAATTGTTGAAAACATCTTCATTATCCATCCATAATTCTATATTATTTTGTTGTTCCATTGCTTGATAATCTTCATACCATAATTGATCACTTTGATTAACTTGATTATAATCTTGATTAGAGTTTTCTGATGAAGTTGCCACGCTGGAATTTTCTAGTGTAACGCTAGTGCTAAAATTATTATTAATATCTGTTCTCATAATGGATTGTTGAGCTTCGTTAATACAATTATAATTCGAAATTTTGGATGCTTCAATCCTCTCAACTAGTCTTGGAATCCAAAGATAACGTAATGTATCTTGGAATTGTTTGCTATTCACATCGCATTTTAGTTGTTTCGCATGTTTTTGAACCCGAGTTCTCCAATAATTTTTGATCTCGTTATCAGTTCTCCCTGGCAAATGTTGCGCGATTTTTGACCACCTATACACCAACAACAACAAAAAGAAAACATAATAAACTCACATTGGTTGAATAGGAAAGTGCTATATGATCAATAGACATTACATTAATTATTAAGTTGTCTAGTAATGATATAACTATAGTAATCTTTCATAAAAAGGTGATATTCCTTGTGTTTAATCTATAAGAAATAATTTGAATAGTGTAAAAATTCTTTTACGTCATCTATTTAACAAATTAAAGAACATACCTATTGCCCCAACGAGAATGAAGTTGAAGAATCAAGAGTTGTTCTTCAAGCGTAATATTTCCATGTCGAACATCTGGTCGAAGATAATTAAGCCATCTTAGCCTGCAACTTTTTCCTGTCCTCTTCAAACCTGTTTAATTAATACGTTAATTTTTAAGAAAGACTAAAACAAAAAATATGATAATTGAGATGAAAGAAAATACTACATAGTAAGTGACATGCATGTTGCAATTAGTAAAAATATATTAAATAATTATTTACTTACCAGCACAACGTGAGAGTGAATTCCAACGACCTTCACCGTGATGAGAAATATAATTCATAAGAACTAAATCTTCTTCAACAGTCCATGGACCTCTTCTAAGCTCCATAATTTCTTTATCAATATTATTTTCTTGATTGATTAATTTATCCATCAAACTTAAATTTTTTTTGTTGTGTAAATATGGATTTTGTGAGTGTTATAGAGAGAGAAAGAGATGCTTAGAGTGAGAAAGAAGTGTAGTGAAGATATATTTATTGAAGTGGTAGTGCTTTATATAGTGTGAGGAAAATAAAGAAAACAATTATTATTAATTCCCCCCTTTTTTTTTACTATAAAGTTTAATTGAAGCATTATTATATTATTTATATTTTATTATATATAATTAATAATGAAACTCGTTTTGCACCTTTTGAGTTTGACTAAATCACTAAATAATTTATAATATAATAAATTAGTTCCGCGGAAATCAATATTTAGATTTTTTTGATTGATTTCCACTACCCACCGTATAGCAAAGTTGTAATATAACTATTTGACTTTTTAGTATTTTAGAATTAAATACTGGTTTAAGAAATTTACGAATTTTTTCTAAAAATAAAATGTATATAAATCACAAATGAGCATAAATATTAATTTAAGAAATTCGTGAATTTTTTTGAATGAGAGCAAATTTTATAAGAATTGCGACGGAGTATGAAATTCTAGTTTAAGAAATTTACGAATTTTGCTGATAGAAAGTGAATTTTTATAAAAATCATGATAATTATACTGATGGAAGAAATTATCATAATTTTCACAACCTAAATATTTTATTGGGCATGTATAGTATTTTTTTCTTTATAAATCGTTGTCGTTATATTTTATGGCGAAAAAATTTATTTACGTTTTTAATAGACATTATAATTTGTTTGTATGCTATAGATAAGATTTAGAAGAAGGATAATCTAATGGATTAATTATCATGCCTTATGAATATATTTGACACGATAGCTATTTAATTTCCACATATATAGTGTAGTTTGATTGATTAATTGTGTCATTTTGCACTAACCAAAGAATCTAATAAGTCTATAACATAGGTTATTGACTTAGATTAGTTAAATAAAATTATTATATTTTGATTTGATTGCTCTTTTTTGTTATTCCAATGTTTGATGTACATTTTGGGATCTTTTAATTTGTTCAATATCCTCCTTTTTAATGTGTGGAAATGCATATGCATCCAAAATGTATTGGGGTTATGAAAAGAATCCTTTTGTTTACGGTCTTATCTATTCTGATAAGAAAGCGCTCTTAGTTCAGTTCAATAGAACGTGGGTCTCCAAAATTCGATGGCTACACATAGTATATTTTTGTGATATGATTCTTTTTTTAAATTATCTTCGTCTTTTTAATGCTCTTTTCTCTATCAGAATCCACCACACTGATAATTATGAGGTACATTTAATTTCCTTTTCTTTTATAACTTTTTTTTTAAAAAAAAGGAGAAGGTTCAAGTCGAAAAGTCAATAGTTACAATATAACTATATATTTTTACACTATATTAATATCGCGATTATTAATAAAGCTAAAAGAAATAGAAAAAGATTTCATTCGAATCTCTTCGATTAGAAAAAAAAGTAACATGGTGAAGCAAACTATTACAAAGTTAAAATTAAATAGGAAAAATGTGTTTAAGATTCATCAACACTTTTTTTAATTTATATTTTTAGTCAACGGCTATTAAAAATGACATGTCCTTTAGGATAAATGGATAATATTAATAATTCTTTTTTTTCCTCTTTCAGTCAAATTATTAATTGTAATTTACATTACCCATTAATGATTTGTCAATTTCTTAATAGTAATAATATCCTCTTAAATCTTATGAAATAGACAAATCCAATGAAATTTCCCCTTTAAGGAAGAAAGCACGATATTTCACTTTTCTATTTTAGTTTCATCCAATAATATATTGAATTTTCGATTTATTACTTATCAATATAAATGTCATTTATAAATTACGTGTTATACATCAAGTTCAAATAAGTTAACTAAGTAGAGTTTGTTATATAAATTCTTGACTTACGAGTCTCTTTAAATAATCATATCTTAAAATATTTTATTTCAAGATATAAATATACATCAATATTTTCGTATTTTACGAAAAAGGTCGAATAGTTTCTTTTACGAAAATTCTATCATATAGTAATTATTTTTATTTATTACTCAAGAATAGTAAAATTTAGTGGAAGAAAAGTTTGTCAAGTATAAACAAGACAAGGCTGCCTTAATAAATGAACACAAAATAGTACTATTTTTCAACAATATATTAAATTAAATTAATTAAAATAAATAATGTTCAAACAGGAACATTCCATTTTATTTATTTTATTTTTATATTTGTTACCAAAAGCACCAACAAGATTAATTATACTATTCATTAGTGCAAATATAATGACATTTTTTCTAATTTTAATCTAATAATGCTTCTCCTCCTACATACATATCACTTTACGGCTACAAATAATTAATTTATCAACTATATATTCTTAGTCAAAATATTTATCAATTTCAGTCGGTAAATTAATCAAAGATGAATATAATTTATTTACTATTATGAATAATTAGTTACAAAAAGACTTTTTCATTTTATGTTACGTCAATTTGAGGTTCTCTCGATTAATTATACTTCTTTTGAGGTATTTATAAATTTATTTTATTCGAATTTTAACATCACTTATTAAATTTTCTTGAACCTTATTATTCTATAATCAACTTGTACCACCAGTATACATTTAAAAATTCATGATATAATTATTCAATTGAAAAAAAACAACCTTAGCCCACTTTAACATTTCTTAATTTTCAATGTCCTCATTTTATTTATTTATATATATTTTTTTCTTTGTAGTGATCTTAGGTTAAATTTCAACCCTATAAAACCTAATTTTAAGTCTATAGAGTCAAACACAACACATCTATTTTGAAGTTGACCATGGCCCATGGGCATAGTTAACAAGTCAACAAAACAATCTTCTAACAATAGTTATTATTAGTTAATTAATAAATAAATTAATTAAGAGATTAAACTAAGCCAACTAGGTTTAATTAAACTAAACAAACATTGTTAATTATTAATCTAATTGAACCTTTTTTAAAGTACATGAACTTTGATTAGCTACCCTTTATTTACGCGTTTTAGCTAATAATAAGAGTTTGATAACAATAATACATATATATTCAGTGTGATTTCACGAATAGGGTATAAGGAGTGTGGTGTACACGCAATCTTATACTTACGTTTTGAAGATAGAGAGGTAATTTTCGATATAGACCCTCGACTCAATAGTAAAACATATTAAAATCAGTAAAATAAAAAGAAACACGATAATAAAAAAAGTCGGTAACAAATAATGGAAAAAAGTGAGAGTTTATCATATTATTAATATGCATAAATATCTAAAGATATTATTGATGATGATGAGTCGAACATAAAAGTCAAAAGCAAATAATGAAATATTTAGTTCCTAACAGAAAAAGAAAAATATGTTCAAATTTAAAGTCAACAAACTAAACTATGTTATCTTTTGAAAATTGAAATTGAAAAAAAAAAGATCATGGAAGATTTGGAGGAATATAATTAATAAAATTGCAATAAAACCTAATTGCAAATCTAAAATATATATATATATATATATATATATATATATATATATATATATATATATATATATATATATATATATATATATATATATATATA